TTTTGATTTGATTTAGCTTTGGGTACTCGCCCAAACAACTTGTAGATACTTTTTCTTATTTGTAATTTACATGACATCTTGAAGCGAAAACTTCAACATAACTAAATGTCAACTGACAGTAAAGTAAGTAAACAAACTATTGTTTAAAAGGCAACTTGTGTGAATTTTGTGCGAAAACTTTTAGGACATACGTTACAGTGTGAGCTTTTCGTGTGGCATTGCTCGATAACTCTGTCATTGCGGACAGTACCGAAAAAGATTGTAGTCAGCAGTATGCTTCTTACTTGGAAAATATGTTTACCCCTACAGGGTGATGTATAACTATGCAGTGACACAAACATGCAAATGGAAAGCACTACGTTTTATTGAATATATGTGTACACCCTTTTATACAAAGCCGTTTGATGTAACATACCATAGCGTTCCATTCTCCGAGTCAGAGATACAGATACTTGACAATATATCGAATAAAACACTAAACTTTGAAAACCCGCACATCCGCAATTTGTATAGCTAGGGTACAAAATTTTTCGTTGAAAAATTATGATCCTATAGTTCGTCCTTATCTACCTACCTTCTTAGTTCTTTGAATAGTCTATACAGGGTAGTTGAGAAGCCAAAATCAACTAACTCTCAAAATTTTCAATTGGAACACCTTTTGATTTCTCTTTTCATGAGATTTTTTTGTTATCAAGTTATCAGCGATACCTTTTGACTTGCATAATGGTAGCTAGACTAAATTTATAGTGAAAATGCTGCTTGTGCCGAAAATAATTCAACGGCTCACCAACTTGATAGCATCTTTCAAGCACCTGGAATAAAAAATCCTATCCACTAAATTTGAATTTCTTAAAACAACCTACCCATTGATTTGTCTCGAATTACGTTTGTTGTGATTTGATAGCTAGATGATGATAAAACGATCTTCAAACAGAAGGTAGAGTCGTCATCAGATGCAGTAAAAATATTTTTTCTGCTCTGCGGATATTCTGCCCTGCATTGCTGTCACCGTTCGGGATGAACGTTTCCACCATCAGCCTGTCCAGTGTTTACGGATACCCGCAGAAACAGAAAGAAATACAGGATTTAATTATGTCAAGTCGTACATCATCTGGCGGACACTGGAAAGCTCACAAACAGAGGCGTCCCAAAAGGCGCCAAGTCCGATAACAAAAGATCTAATGCTCTTATAACACATGTCGCAGTTTGATCTAACAATTATCACTGTCATGGAAGTATATTATGGTCATTCTGACCGCTGATCACAATGCCTAGGTCGGTTGATCCTTCAAGTTCAAAGTCATTTCAGGATCAAATCCAGAGAAATTACTCAAGAAAATTGTAATGTGCTTTTTTGTCTCACTGAATCAAAATTTGACGACGTTTGTTTTGACTAGCGGGGTCATTCAGAGGTTATGTCAAGGTTATTTCAAGATCAAGGTTTGTAAAAGTATTTGAATCTATTTAAAAACCTTCAGCTACAATTTTCTTTTGGCTTTTGAACACAAATCTCGCATTCGTTTTAACAGGCTACTTAATTCGGAGGTTACTCCAAGGTCAAATAAAGGTTCTTCGAAGGTTAAAGTGGATGAGCTTGTCGGACAAAACAAACGCTAGATCTACATTCAATACAATACAATATACATTTTTTGGGATTTATTCTGTGTGACCTTGAACTGAGCGTGATAAATATAAACCATCCCAAACATCGAGATCCACTACTATTTGTCTGGAGTTGAGTTCAAGATCAAATGAGCCGTTGAAAGACAGGATGGTCCAAGTCCAAATTTTCAGATATCGAAGTTCTGGTACTGTTCTGGATGGATGAATCTTTGTCTGGGAGAGTTTTGAAAAATATATCTTTTCGTTTTGCACACAGATGGCACCATTCTGTTTTTATATGTCAATGGAAAGCTGTAACCGTTATGAGGCAGAATGGGACAAGTGTGACTTAACCCACTCTGGTTTTCAATAGTAGTGCCAAGCGGACAGAAATAGCATCAAGTACGTGCCAGAAGACTAGTATACAACAATAAGAACCTGCAGGCCCAGGAAACCCTTTTACGTCTGTGAAATGGAGCGGTCTGATTTTTTCTCATCAACAACATCAGAAAAAGCTGTAACAAGACGAAAGAAAAATGATACTAATGCCACTGTATCATGGCTCCAGATCCAGTGGCTACACTTTGAGAAAAAAGAACCTTACAAAATTTTTTATAAAGATACTTTGAATGAAGAATTTCCATATGACTTTATAAATTTACTACCAATTCGAAAAGGTGCACCCAAAAACTTCAAAAATATAAACCTACCTCCTTTGAGTGAATCCCCTCTTCCTGTCAACGACAAAAAGAAGAAAAACATGGAAGAGATTCTCCAATTCATACCACCAGTTCATCATAGTTTTTTTAAGAATCTGAAGACAGATGCAACTTTGCCAAATACTGCTTGTTACTGAAGAAGAAGAAGGAGAACAGACTCGAGAATTTCCAGAAATTCCATAAGGTCGCGTCAGTACAGTACAGTTTTTGTGTAGAAAATATACATTATTTTTTTACTGTATGGAGATTGATGTCTGTGGTTTTGTAATAAAATTATCAATTCACATAATGTTGTGTAACTCTACTTTAATACTCTACTTTACTATAATCGTTATACAAGTATGAAACCAAAGGTAAGAACCGTTTTAAGGCAGAGTGGGCTAAACCTTAAACATATGAAAAAAAAACACATGAACACATCATGTTTATGTTTTTTATGATAAGATACTTAAATTGATTCTACCTTTAAGGGTATTTTGATTTCTTACTGCAGTTTTATTATTCTTCATTTATCAGCCGCATCTAAACTTTAAAGCCTTAAATCTCGGAAACGTCTTTTTGTGACTTGGACCATCCTGGCTTTCAATGGCTCAAATGTTGACCTGCGTATTGGATCTAATGCCAAGATAAGTCCAGGAAGTATTTTCACGTCCGTTCAGAAAAAAGTATGATAAAAAGACCGAATTTAACGAGTATGCTTGTTGCCAAACCCAAAAATTTGTTCTGGTAACTTTTTTATGCCTTTTGGTCACTCTGAGCGTAGAACATTTGAATAACTTTTGTTTAAAGTAGATAGTTTTCGAGAAATAAACGATTTAATATTTGATAAAGTGCAAAATATAAAACTTTCGATCCCGGAAAACAATACTGGCAAGTATTCTTTAAACATCTAATGAATGGTCCTAGAGCACTTCAAATTTGAGGAAATATGGATATTTTGTCTCCAAAACTTGCCCTCCCCGCCAAACGTGTACATGTGAAGCAATAACTTCTTACAGGAGGAATTACATTTTGCAATGCACGGTCTCCAAAATTTGGCTCTGCTTCTACGGTTGTAAATGTATAAATAACCGTTGTTACGAGACTTTGACGGTATGACATGAACTGTTCTGACACCTGCTGTAAAACTCAAATCCTATGGATAGGCATAAAGTACAGATGATTTAAATAAATGCTACTCCAATGTGCTGGCGACTCGATGAATTTGTTCAACTTCTGTGATGGGTATGTATCCGTTTCAGGAAGAATGAGCTTCTGGGATTACAACCGCGCCGATTTTTGCATTCCATTGTGTTTAGGCAATGCGAGCCAATGACGAAGCATATCCGGCTCAGATACCCAGATGGCATAACTCTGCGGAATCCATGGATATATGACGAGAAAATTCCAATTGTGGCCGCATATTTATCATTCGCTTTTTCCAATTAAATCCGATATTGTCATACCTCCCGACGAAATATATCGATGTTCTGCCATAAATCAAACGTCGTCTGTTTTCCCCGCGATACGAATACATTAGATAGGCGCACGTCAAGGCTGTAGAGCCGTGAACCCTACACTTTGTGATGTGACTCTTTTTAAAACGGGAATGCAACGCTAGATGGGAAACGTAAAATTAGAAGGAGATAACAGACATTAAGAATTGTTTGTCGGTATGTCTGTCCCTTGATCGTTCAGTCTTCTATAACTTGGAAACTACAACTAATACTTTGACAAAATTTTGACACAGGCTTACTTGTATACGGAGGGCAAAAAAGTTTTGCCAAATTCCAACACTGATATGCATAAGCTTCGTTTGTCGATACCTTTAAGTTTTTTATTTTTTATTGATTTTGAGTTTTTTGTTATTGTCGCATAGCAGACATTCCAATAGTTCATAATAAGTAATAAAATGTTGAAAAGCTACAAATGCTTTAAAATTACGCTTTTTAAGTATCATTTTCTTTTTTCTTACTAACTTATTCGATAAAAAATGCAATTTTCTGTAAAAAATCTCCTAGTAATGAAATGTGCAAATTATGTAAATAATATCTCTATCTAACAAGCTTTCATTTGAGGTATAAAAGTTACAACTAACTCAAGTACAAATACGTAAAATTAAAAAAAAGATGAGTAAAGCTGTACGAGCGATAAATACGTAGAATAAATAAAAGACTTTTATTTTCAACACAGTTTCATTTGAATACATTTCCTTTAGTATTTTACAGATTCTGCTCAAATTGTAATCCCCTGTTACGAATACACGCCCGCATTCTCTTACGTAATTCACTTTTGGTAACTCTAGTTGTTAAGCGGCTTTTTATTTGCCACAAATCTTATTCACTTCACTTGTCAAACGATACTGTTTGATAATCTTTCCAGACGCGCATTTTATAAACTGCCTTTTAGCCTTGTAGCTTGTGTTTATAGAAATAAAATTGGCAGATTTTTTTTCTGACTTCTGAAGAAACGCTTTGACCTTTTAACAATTTTTCGGCGTTTGTTAAAGGTGAATTTTTCTTGATTTTTTTATTTTTACATCTCTGTAGTCTTGTTTTATACCGCTGCGTTAATTTTTTGTACTTCTCTACTTTTCTCTCCAATTCCTTTAATTTTCTTACCGTTGCTGAGCGCTTCCTTAAAACCCTTTTTCTTCCAGCGCTTGATCTCTCTGAAACATTTGATACATCCTGATTGTTTTCAATTTCGTTTAGATCTCTGGTAGGTGTGCGGAGGAGTGTTTCTTTTTAGCATCTGCGTAGCTCTGGTTACATGTTTTTTGTTTGTATTATAACTCCGTTTGTATTCTTTCCACTTTTTTCTTAATCTTTTTTTCTCCCTTCTGGACACTTCCCCAATAAGCTTAATTTTGCCTTGTTTTTTTCGCTCATAATACCTTTCTCTTTCCTGTTGCTTTGCTTTTTCATATTGCTCTGGATTGCTTCTTACTTTCTCTCTACGTCTGCGTTCACAATCTCTTTTTTGCTGCCTTCGCTTCTCTAAGTCTACCTTTGGCTTCGCCATATTTTTGCTAAAACAAAAACCTATTTAACCACATGATTAGCATAGTCTTATAATTAATTTAAATTAAAGCGTATTCTTCTGAGGTTGAAAAACAATTACTTTTTCTACTCCATGGACACCAGTCTGCTCCATGGACATACAAAAGTCCATGGAGCGGAAGTCCAGGGAGTGGGTTTTTTTTGGAAAAAAATAGCTTTACACTCGCAAAACAAAAAAACACAAACTAATTTGTACATAAAATTAAAATGCCAATAAATGGTCACCTAACCGCAATATTTTTATTTAAATTTTACTTGTTCAAATCATTTTAAAAGCCCCCATGGAGTGGAAAACAATGAAAATACGCACCTGCCAGCGCTCACTTCGACTGTCACTACCACTAATCCGCACAAAATTGGACGATGCGTGCATGTCGAACGACAAAACTAGACCGAAGCACGAGTACCGACCCGACGCGCTTAAAGATGCAATACCAACCATAAGGAGCAAAATTCCTCTAGGTCACACCTTTTTACATAATTTTTAATGATTATTTTTAGTAATTATTTTATTTTGGCTATAGCATTATTATTATTGACATTTAATCTTTTGATAAAACCGATTGTTGTGACCCGAAACTATGTAGAGTTTCTGAAATAAAGCAATATCTTAGGTAAAACGTGTTGGTTACAGTCCATGGAGTGGAATTTTGGTACTCTTTGACAGTTTTTAAAAATATTTTTAAAGTCAAATTTAAAAGTTTAATAAGTGATCCTAACAAAAGGTATTTCATTTTATTGCCTAAGCATGTTAGATAACTCTTGTTTTAGTAATTTTGGATGGTTACATCAAATTGTCCCAAATTTTGAGAATCACCCTGATAGCAAAAAAGTTATAGCCGAAAACCGAGGTAAACTGCAGGTTCTGACACTTGATGCTAATGCAACGATGGTTTCTCGCATATACTTGAAATTCTTCAAAATCGTAGGAATCGGACTTTTTAATAACCACAACAAAACTGGTCAAGTAGTTTTTGAGAATTTCTAATTGTTTATCCCAAAACACCAGTTTTCCAGACACCATTACTAGTTTGTTGAGCAATATACAGGGTTAGTTCATAGTTAAAAATATCTAATAAGGACAATATTTGCGAAAATTGTTATTTATCATTTATTTGATCTGGAACGTTTAAAATCCTAATTGCTTTTGAAGTGTTGCCGAAGAGAAAAAACGGAATCGGTAGATGGTGTCGTTCAGTTTGGAAGGATAAGCATGAAATCGGTAAAAAAAGTATATTCTTGTATTGAACGCACACGCAACATTATATACTCTTTGAGGGTATATTTTCCTTAAAAAATACTAAGCTCTATATTGGAACCGGTACAATGAGCATACTGGTCGCTCCTCCACTTTCGTTTGCAACCAGCCTAGAAACTCCTTTTCCGGTTGTGAATATTTTACTGTCTTACCCCTGAATTCATGAAGTCATCACCTATCGTTCCTCATATTGGGAAAACTCTATTGTTCTGAAAAAAAAGGTCGTCAGCGTTATTGAGACATCCACATTATTCCCTTTTCCACGTATTCCCGACACACCCTTGCAGCGGGCGTGATCCGCATATTCCGACGATAATCGCACCCCTAATGACATATATTCTGTTGGCGGATTACAATCCCTCTGAACGTTGGGATCATCTTTTTCCAGGACGACCGTTAAACCAGGAAGAATGAATTTATCGCTTCGGACTAGGTATATTTTCGGTAGCTTTGTACCGAATATTGTCGAATTTCTACTCGGGGTAAGAAGGAACGACCTGAAGTTGGTAACACGCTGGATCTTTCCTTTACTGAGCGTTTTCCTAGTAATACATACACACCAATGTCTTAAAATGACAAAGCACAAAAGCAATTAGAACTTCTAAACAAATATCAAAATAATCGGTTTCGCAAGTCATTCTGATTTCAAAAGGTTGCTAAAGAATTTGTTGCGAGGAGTTTCTGATCCATTAAAACTAATGCTGTTGGGGCTGATGGAATTTCACTGATTATAGTAAAATACATTTTCAAATTGCTTTTAGACCACATTACATACAGGGTGGCGCATCGAAAACGAAACAGACGCATTTACTGACAGCTCAGTTTTTTTTTGTAAAAACGCTCAGACCCGTCGATTTTGTTTTCGAGGCGACACAAGTTTGGCAAAAAATCACGTTAACACGTGCAGCCCCTTGGTTGGGGGTGACACCAACCCTAAAATCTTAAATGGAAAGGGGGGTCGAGTGACACCTGGTCAAATCAATCGCAAACCATGTACTAAATTCCTATTTAAACTAAGTACGAGATATTTCCTTACCTTTCTTCAAGAAATAACTTTTTTGCCACAAAAAAACGCTCCAGCTATTTTCAACAACAAAATGATAAACAAACCATGGGCGTAGTAAAAAAAAGCATTTACTTATTAAGTAAATTCTTTTAGTCAAACTAATCTGCAGTACCTATTAAATTCTACTTTAAGCTTTAAAACAATAAATCTTCTAAACTACTGAACTGAAGCTCATGTATTTTACATCATTATAAAGGGAATTGAAAGACTTTTAAAATAAGGTATCATCCATCATCATCCATTTAAGATTTTGGGGGTGGTGTCACCCCCGCTTAGAGTGTTGCACGTGCTAACGTGATTGTTTGCCAAACTTGTGTCCCCCTCGAAAACAAAATAGACGGGTCTAAAGTTTTTCAAAAAAAAACTGAGCTGCCAGTGAATGCGCCTGTTTCGTCTTCGATGCGCCACCCTGTATATTACACTGGACAACAAATTTTAGTTTTTTAATTGTATCTTGTGGGAAAAGTGCACTTCTTTGTTAATTTTGGGTCGCTGAATCCAAAAATGACAATGAAATAAAAAAATTAGTTGCGGTTTAGAAAAAAACTTTTTATTTTTAAGGATATATTAAAAAAAGTAACAAGATTCATATACTTATAAGAATCACTATATGCGCTGTCTTTTTGCTGTTCTTTTATGGATCGTTTCTGCAGCATCTCTACCAAGAGTCCAACAGTAGTCTGCAACCATGGAAGGATTCCACTTTCCCTGGTACTTTTTTTTCATTGTTGAAATATCCCGATGAAAACGTTCGCCGAGCTCATCACTTACGGCTCCGCAATTGTCAGGAAAAAAGTCCAGGTGTGAATGTAGGAAATGTATCTTAAGAGACATATTACAGCCCATCTCTTGATACGATGACAGCATATTTTTGACAAGGGTTTTATAGTTGTCAGCTTTTCTATTTCCCAAGAAATTAGTGACCACCAGACGGAAATCATTCCAAGCAGTTTTTTCAATACCTGTTAAAGTGTTTTCAAACTGTGTATCTTTCAAAATATTTCGATTCTGTGGCCCAACAAAAATACCTTCTTTAACCTGTGCCTCACTTAGTCTTGGAAATTTCTGACGCAGGTATTGAAAAGCTGACCCATCTCTATCTAATGCCTTGACAAAGTTTTTCATTAGGCCCAACTTGATATGCAGTGGTGGTAATAAAAATTTTTTTTCGAATTTACTAATGGCATATGCTGTACATTTTTTTGACCTGGCTCTAGGAATTGACGTACAGGCCAGTTTTGTCTGGTGTAATGAAGTGCCTTTTCCCGACTGTCTCATTCACACAAAAAACAGCAAAACTTTGTGTAGCCTAGCTGCAGCCCAAGTAAAGGTCCAACAACTTTCAAATCGCAACAAATATGCCATTGGTGCTCATCGTATTTTATGCATGTCAATAGGTACTTCACATTGTCATATGATTATTTCATGTGAACTGCACACCCTACAGGAAGAGATGGTAAAATATTTCCAATATGCAATAACACTGCCTTTAAACTCAATGTTGAACTGTCTATAAACAATCTCCATTCTTCTGGGTTATAGTTTATATTTAAAGCCGCTAGTAAGCCATTAATGTTACTGCAGAAAACCAAGTTATTCTCCATATTGAAAAATGGTTCTAAGTCTTTGTGGCGTTTACGAAAAACACATACCGAAACATCGTCTTCTAACAAGTTCCACTGCTGCAGTCTTGATCCAAGTAACTCTGCCTTACATTTTGGAAGTTCTAAATCTCTTACAAGATCATTTAATTCTGACTGTATTATTTTGTGCGGTTGGTGGCATGACGTGCTCGGTATAAAATCAGGATCTCTTGACGTTGATGGCATATCTTCGTCCGGACGAATCACTCGATCGCCATGATCTGATTCGTTTTCTGATTCGCAAGTGTAGGATTCTGGGGGTTTTAAAATAGGATTTTCGTCACTGTGAGGCACAGGTCTCATCGCAGATGATGGTTTGTTTGGGTAGTTAATAACCGATTTTTTTTTCTTGGACATACCTGTGGCTTGTCCAACACAAGGTACCATGCAAAAGTAACAATCATTAATATGATTTGTAGGCTCTCTCCAAACCATTGGGACAGCAAAGCGCATAGACCGTTTTTTGCCATTTAACCAGCTCCTCAGACTTGAAGCACATGTATTACAGCAGATGTGGGGTGCCCACTGTTTGTCTTGATCACCTAGTTTATAACCGAAATAAAGCTGATATTCCTTTGTTATTAGTGGAGTAATAGACCGTCTTTGAGACGCAAAAGTCACATCAACACACACGTAACGAAATTGATCAGGATTGTTTACACACTTTCGAGACATCTTGCATGAACGCTGTCAGCCAACTGAGGAAAAAATGGCTAATATAAAACAATATAATGTACACGTATGTATAACGTAACACAATCATGCTGATTACATCATCTTTCCTTGCCGAATATAAAAATGTAGCACGTGCATTCTTGTGAATTACAGTATATTAACACTGTCACAGCAGGAACATATACAATTACCGTATCTCTAAAACTTGAACTAATATTGAAAAAATAAGTTTCATTCCGGTTTTAGCACATTAAAAATAGTAATATTTTGTTGATTTTATTTAGGATATTTTTTGGCTGTTGATAATTATCAATCACGCC